TGTGAAGTCAGGGGAGAAGGGGAGATGTTTAATGCTGTTTCTCCCAGTGAGTAAGACAGGGGCCATTAGGTCACATCCCTTCTTCAGCGATGTGATCTTCTATTCTGAATAGCAGCTTCTCCACTGTCTCAAGATAAACCACAAATATATGCAGTACTTAAAGTTCATCATTCTGTTTTGTACTGCATTATTTATTTGGAATTAAGAAGGTTAAGTATTTTGTAACAATTGCCATTTACAAGACAGGAGAAAAATAACTTGAATAGCAGTGCCTGAAAAGAGATCGTTAAGCAAAGCGATGAATCAAAATAACAAATTTTTAGCACACCCATCTGTCTGTTCCAGATGGGAATACAAGAGCCTGTAGGCTTTCAGTGCTTTGTTCATGAGGATGATCTATCTACCTGCAAAAAATAAAAATAAACGAAATAAAGGTTCCCACTACTGCAGTGGTGCCAGTGTAGCCCTACCAGTGGAGAGCTCAGAAGTGGAGAAGATACTGCTTGTCATGAGCCTTGTTGTTATTAAGAAAGCAGAAGGCTTTTCCCATTTGGTGTGCTTCTAACACCAGCTGCTGGTAGTGCTCATTTCCCAACAAATTTGAACTGCTGGTAATGTGGTGATTGAAGATCTGAATGCAGTAGAGGTTAGACACATGCCTGGTCTCCAAGTTCATGTGGTTTTCTTAGGAGCTTTTCACTGAGGTTATTGTGAGATTTTTCTTAAAGGACTATAAACTCTGAAAACTGTTTGTGAGCGTTTAAATATTGTTCAGTTGCTCCTCTTTTTCAGTGGAAGCATGGAGCCTGCGTTTCACAGAGGAGATCTACTGTTCCTCACGAACCGAATTGAAGATCCAATCAGAGTGGGAGAAATCGTGGTCTTTAGGATAGAAGGAAGGGAAATTCCTATAGTCCATCGCGTCTTGAAAATTCATGAGAAGTATGTCAAGGATTTGGGGGATTGTACTGCAGATGTCTAGTAAAATTGTATTTTTCATCATCTCCTTGGGTAAACGAATGGGTGGGACATCAGTAACAGACATCCAGGTGCTGCAGGAAGAAGTAACATAGAATTTTCAGACAGATTAAATCTGCCCTGTTTGGTTTACTTGTAAAGATCATCCAACAGAATTCACAAGCTGAGGAGTCTGTGCTGGTATCCTGGATTCCTCATGTCTCCTGTGCCATCATTTCTATCTCAAGCTGCTATGTAATGTTGCTCTGTTGTCTCCTGTAGGTATGGCTGCATTTGTGTGTGTGAAGTGACTCTTGTTCATAGAGGTAGAACTTATGAAAGAAGGGTATTTTGTATGTAGCATGCGTTATTTTAAAGCTTGTCTTTATGTTCCTGGTTCCTGCTCTCATGCAGAGGCAGGGTGTTTCTTCTCTTCTTTGTAGTGTTGCATTGTTATACTTGGAGTCTCTGTAGGCACTGCGCTCTCTGTGTACTATTCATTCTGTAAATATTTAGCAGGTTGCATGTCTGAAGGAATGAAACATGGTCACTCTGGTTTGATTGCTGAACAGGCTTTAGTTTTCCAAAGCAAGGCTTCCTCTGCAGCCATGAGCCTTCCTATTTTGCTGGTCGGGGAGGATGCAACTGTGACTGCTCCAGGCCAGTCTGTGGGGACACGAGCCAGCCCCATGAGGCATTTGAGTGAACCCTAAATCTTGAACTGAATCCCTGGTTCTTCAAGCCAGCTCTCAGAGGGCAACAGTTGGATGGGGGCCCAGCATCTGTTTCTGCTGAGTAAATGCCTGCTGCAATATGAATGAACTGGAGCTATACCAGAGATCTGTTCCTAGCTTAAGTGAATCACTTGAACTGTATGTAAAAGTGGCATTTGAGGATTGCGGTGGTCAAGTGAGGTCAATGGAATAGAGGCAGTCCCTTGCCCCAGCTGTTGAGACATCTAGACCATTTGTCCGGCCCAATGTCAAGGTTGACCAGCTTTGTGCACATAAATAGTCCAGCTGAAATCCTGGCTATGAGAGAGCAGCACCTCTCCCAGTAGACAGAGCAGATTCTTTGCTGTTCAGATTTATTCTATATCAAAAACATTTATCAACATCAGTTTTGAAAGTACTGTGCTTTGATAACGCTAATTTAAAAAAAAAGGTCAGTATACTTGGTAAATTTGATATCTGACGTTGTAGGTGCACTTTTTGTGATGTCTTGGGAACTCTTTTAACTGAGACGCTACTTTCCTTCTCCCATGTTGCACGCTAAAGGCTCAGGTGGGCTCTGGTGCTACTGCTTGGGCTGACTATTGAAGACAAAGGTCAGGGTCTTCTCTCTCTGCTCTTGGCCAATGTATGGGAAGGAGAAGCACAAATGTGCATTCTTTGCAGCAGTTCATCTCCAGATATTCCCCACCCTTCTTTTTTTCACCTGGCTCTATCTCAGCACTAGGTCTTAAGGTATCCAATGCTTTTTTTTTTTAAATGTAACAGAACCATACTGCCAATCCTAGATTCTGTAAAGTAAAGCCATTCTCAAGTATTTTAGGTTTCATTTAAATAAAACAACCAAACACAGACCTGATCTTTATATTAGGAAGCATAAAACTTAAAAATACGTACTGTAACCTGAAGCTGGGTGCTGAAGGCAGGACTCTGAGGTATCAATTGCTTCTTTCACTAGTTAATGAATATTTTTCTGGTGCCAGTTTGGAATTCAAGAGTGTCCTCTGAATGGCCGGACTTTCCTATTTCTTCCTGTAGTTATGGACTGAATGAAAACTGTGAAGAGTCTGTGAAAGCTGACAGGAGTGTCAAAATGAAGGAAACCAGAACCCCTGTTCTCTGTGATTTTGTGGCAACTGGGGCTCGAGTTCACATCGGTGTCGTTTCAGTGAGAAAATGTTTTTTTACTTGCTAGCCTTTTCTTCTTTTTTCAGAGCGAAATTGAATTAATTCTTTATCACTGAACACAGAGTCTGTGGTCAAAATTTACTTAGTGGTTTTGGTGCAGGACAGCCAGAGCAGATTTCATTCACCTTTCAGACAGCAGAGCAGCTGTGCTCTGGGCTTCCTACGCTGGTTTATGATAGAGCGTTGAATCTGCTCAATAAGATGGTACGCTCCTATGCCATCAGTCTTCAGAGCTGAAACTACATTATCTGCACCTTTGGGTGTCTTCATCTTTTTCTAGACTATCAGTAAGCTCCTAGAGCGTTTGCTGTTCCCACACTGTGAGCCAAATGCGCTTTGAATAAAGATCTGTTCTTTTTTCCCCTTTTTTTTCTTCCAAGCTTCTCCTGTCAAGTAACACACATTGGTACTCAGGCATGATGAAAACAGCATGAGCTCTGAAGATCTTCTGCATGCTTTCCTGAGTTGTATTTGATCTCTCATTTCCGTGAGCAAGCCAACAGAATCAAGCAACGAGAACACTCCTGCTCAGCATCTGCCTTCACATGCCACAGGGATAGCAGCCTGTCGATCCCTGAGTAGTGGCCCAGACTGCTGCTTAGAAGCAAGCCTTGCTGGCTGTCCAGCAAGCTGAATGGAAATGACTGGGGAAGGGTGCATAACATGGTGTATAAAGCTAGAGCATAGCAGCAGCTGTTCCCAGGTCTAAGCAAAGGTTCATCTGCTCCAGGATCTTGTTTCTGACCAGCTAACTAATTAGCCTCAAGACAAATTAAAGACTAGAGAATGTGTAGTGATAATTTTCCTGCTTTCTGTAAATTACCATTTCAGGCACAAAGTGACAATTCTGTCTTAATAGCCTCCTTTTCTTTTTTTACATGGAGTACCTGGTCACTTTTTGAACTGATACAATATTTTGGCATCCAAAATATCCTTCCAGGGAGACATGATTTGGTTTGCACTGTGTTAGTTAAGCATAGCACCTTCTGTGGCATTACCTCTGTTATCACCTGTTACCTCTGTTTCATTTGATGCCCTCTAGGTCTTGTATCACAAGAGGCAGTGAAAAACTGGTTGTTGCTGTGCCATTTGTATTGGACTACCGTCATATCTCCCATCAGTTCTGTCTTTTCCAGGCTGAAGAGTCCTGTTCTGTTGTTTCTTGTATGGAAGTGGTTCCAGACCTTGTAATCCATTTCTGCACCTTTGCCAGGTCTTCTCTGCATTTCAAAAGGATGTAGGGGGTTCAGAACTGCACAGAGCATTCAAGATGTAGGCCCATCATGAGTTCATGCAGTATCGTAATGGTATTGTTTGTTTTGTTCTGTCCCCCTTTCCTAGTAATTTCTGTTTCAGCTTGCTTCTGACCACTGCTGAGTAGAACTGTATGCTTTAACCCCAAAGTCTCATTTTGGGTGGTAGTATAGAGTGCAGAACCCAACATTTGTGTATGAAGCAAGAGAAGCATCAACATGGAGAGGTCAAAAGCAAAGAGGCGATAGCTGCACCTTCGCTAGAAATGGCTCATCGTGCTGGTTCTGTTCTTAAACTCTGCCGGAAAGCTTGGCTGGGACCAGAATTCATCTTTTCATTGGCAGTTTTTTTCCCAAACAGCCTGCTTTCCACTGCATTTTACAGTTTCCCTTTTTCATCCTGCTCAAACATGTAGGACACAATTGCTTCTAATATCTTTGTGTTGGTCTCTACGTGCTTGTTCTAGAATAGCTTTTAATAAGTTCTTTTTCTCTGACTTACCTGCCTGTCTTGTCTTTGCTAGGCAAAACGGTGACATCAAATTTTTGACAAAGGGTGACAATAACGCCGTTGATGACAGAGGGCTGTACAAACGAGGGCAGCACTGGTTGGAGAAAAAGGACGTAGTAGGACGAGCGAGAGGGTAAGTGAAGTTGAAAAAGATGCGGCTTTTTACACTGCACTCCCCCAGTGCCATCTGTTAATCCCCCTCTCCCGTTGAACTCTCCCTGCTGTTTTTTTGTGTCCTGCCTGAAAGTGTTTCAGAAGGTACTGTGGAGGGTTAAAAAACAGAGGTAGTTCAGTTCTTAGCTAAGCGAAGGTATCAAGCTGTGAGCTGCATCCTGAGATTTTGATGCTGGATGGACACCAATGCAAAGGCAGTGCATGCTCAGGCGTGATCAGAATTTTCATCAAAATTATTCTGCAAGGCACAGTCTTTGCAGACAAGCAAGATCTGAACAAGGCAGAGGCTAAAACACACTCTGGGGCTGGTTGTCACTCAGCCCCCACTGCCATGGCTTCCCTGCTTGCAAGGAAGAAGTTGCAAGCCTGTTGACCGTTGCCCTCCGCGTGCTTGAGTGGCTATTCCTTTGTACAACTACGAGGGCAGTGCTTCTCCTGTATGCACCCTTGAATACTGTTGGTTTTAATAAAACCTTTGTTCTTGTAGGTTTGTGCCCTATATTGGAATAGTGACTATCTTAATGAATGATTATCCAAAATTTAAGGTAAGAGCTCTTTCATTTTCTGCCTGTTTCTCCCACCCCAGCTAAAATTACTTCATGAGAACGTCATATACGCAAGCAGAACCATTTGCCCTGTATGTTTGCTGCTGTTACTGCATCTTTAGATGTGAATGTGCACTCTTATGTCTTCTCTTCTTTCTCTTACAGTATGCAGTCCTCTTTTTACTGGGTTTATTTGTGCTGGTCCATCGAGAGTAGCCTCTTGCACTGAAGTACAAAGTGAAGGTGCCATGGATTTTTTTTAGATGAACATTTTAAGTAGATGATGGTCCAGTGTGCTGGGAGGAAGAAGAAAACAGGCATTTCAAAGCTTCTTGCCAGTTTGGGTTTGTTTTGGTTTTTACTGCGTAAGGGCAAATGTTTGTCACTGTATTTCCAATTGTTTGTCACATTAGCATTTTTAGTAAGTTTTTATATTAAAAATTTAAGCCAAACTGTTCAGTGTTTGTACTTTGAAGCTGAGCTTCCTCTCAAAGTGCCTACAGGACTGTGTCCTCTAAGTCTCTGCCTCTGCTAGGCAAGCATGACCTCTCCCTGTGCTGACTGAACTGTGAAACGGTGAGCTGAGGAGGTGATGTTTCTTCTAATTCAGAACTGGAATAAAGATTTTGCATCTTGCCCAGTATGAGCCCTGACACATCTTCATTATTGCCTGGAGTGTAGCCTTGTTGCCCAGTTTCACTGTGGGGGGTACCTGTGCTTTGCCATTGCGGACTGACTCCTAGACCCTAGCGAACTAACTTGTCCTCTCTTTACAGAACTGTCCCTCTCATTTCTTTTTGGAGAGTAAGCAGTCCTGAGCTATAGATCCATTCAGTATTTCTATGTTTCTGTAAATCACACTGAAATAATCTGCTTAAAGACTGCAAGGTGTTTTGGGCAGAAGATGGCAAAGGATTGCTTAGTGTATAAGCTGTCATTGCAGCACTAGGTAACAGAAGAATTGAGATGGGAAATACCATAGCTGTTTGGTAGGGACGATTTAGTAGGATGCAACAGCAAAATTTTCTTAGTTTTGGAAATGCGTTTTAGGTCTGTAATAATCCCTGCAGCTGGCCACTTCTTACAGCTCACCTGAAAGCTACAGAAAGGCTGAGCTCCCACTGTCCTGAGGTCTGAAAGAAGAAACCACTTGTCACCATGTGCAACAGCTTTTTTTCTAGGCTTCTCATTCAGGATAGTGAACCTGCTTGTGTAGATGTGGTGTCAGAGGAGAGCCCGAGGAAGAGGTACAAGGCACTGTGCCACCTGTACTGAGTGATTGACCATTATAACTTGCCTCCGTGGTGTCTATACTGACTCAGGAAAACTTTTTACTTCCCCTTCACTAGGGCACATGTTCACAAGAGGAGGCAGCGGGAGCACAGTGCCATTGCTACCTCTGTCTGAGGCTGCATGACCCCTCTTCTGCAGTTTACTTACTGGTTGTCTTGCTAGGACAGCTTCCCCCTGGCAGTGGGAGCCTGTCTCCTCCCCATCTTGTGCTTTCCCTGGGTTAACAGCTCTCCTCTCAATATTGCAAAATCTACAGACAGTTCAGAGCTACTGTGTGTAACTTCAGGTGCATTTCACCGCATCCTCTATTCCTTCTTCTTCATGACTGCTCCAAGATTCCACAGCAGCAGGGATCATTAAAGACGATTACTGCTGCTACGCACACCACTTGTGTAGGGCAAAAGCAGTCAGGAAAGGCAAGGACAAAACCCAACAGGGTGTTTATGGTCTATTTTCAGTTTCTTGCATATGTACCTAATTAGGCTTGTCAGACCTGTCCCATCTATGGAGGTGAATTGTGCCATTAGTTATATCCATGGGACCATTTTGCTTAATGCTCAGTAGGTGGGTTGACCTGTGGTATCCCAGCACAAATTGGTTTAACTGGGTGGTTTGTTCCTTGCGTAGGATGAAGCAAAAAATTATCTTATGTTTGTGATACTGCAAAGAGTCTATGAATGGGTCCAGCCCCTAGCACTGAGCTTTTGGCCTGTGGCTCTTTGAGTAATCATAACTTAAAAATAAAAAATGGTAATAAAATCCATATCTCCCACTCCCAGTGCTGGAGCCCTTGAGAAGAGAATTTAGATACAGAGGTTCTCTGAAATGCTTGAGTCACAGATGGGATGTTTTGTCAAAAGCCAAACCTAGGCAGCAGTGAGGGAACACAGAATCTCTCTTTGAGAGCTGCCACTACTATGGAGCACCTTCCTGAGGACTTGGAGCAGCCTTTCTGCATTTGCAGGTCATACTGAGGCTGAGTTTCTGCTCCCTGCTTTGCCTTTAGCTTAAACTGGTTTTAGGATCATAGAATGCTTTGGGTTGGAAGGGGCCTTTAGAGGTCATCTAGCCCAACCCCCCTGCAGTGAGCAGGGACATCTTTAACTAGAGCAGGTTGCTCAGAGCCCCATCCAACCTGATCTTGAATGTTTCTAGGCATGGGGCCTCCACTACCTCTCTGGGCAACCTGTTCCAGTGCTTCACCACCCTCATTGTAAAAAATTTCTTTCTTATGTCTAGTCTAAATCTACCCTCCTTTAGTTTAAAACCATTATTCCTTGTCCTGTCACAACAGGCCTTGCTAAAAAGATTGCCCCCATCCTTCCTATAGGCCCCCTTTCAGTACTGAAAGGCCGCAATAAGGTCTCCTTGCAGCCTTCTCTTCTCCAGGCTGAACAACCCCAACTCTCTCAGCCTGTCCTCATAGGAGAGGTGCTCCAGCCCTTGGATCATTTTTGTGGCCCTCCTCTGGACCCGCTCCAACAGTTCCATGTCCTTCTTGTGATGAGGGCCCCAGAGCTGGACGCTGTACTCCAGGTGAGGTCTCACCAGAGAAGAGCAGAGGGGCAGAGTCACCTCCCTCGACCTGCTGGCCACGCTTCTTTTGATGCAGCCCAGGATTCGGTTGGCTTTCTGGGCTGCAAGCGCACCTTGTTGGCTCATGTCCAGCTTTTCATCCACCAGTACCCCCAAGTCCTTCTCCTCAGGGCTGCTCTCAATCCCTTCATCCCCCAGCCTGTATTGTTAGCGGGGGTTGCGCCGACCCAGGTGCAGGACCTTGCCCTCGGCCTTATTGAACCTCATGAGGTTCACACAGGCCCACCTCTCCAGCTTGTCCAGGTTCCTTTGGATGACATCTTGTGCTTGTGCCATGTCAGCTGCACCACTCAGCTTGGTGTCACCTGCAAACTTGCTGAGGGTGCACTCAATCACACTATGTAATTGATGAAGATGTTAAACAGCACCAGTGCATAAATTGGTTTTTAACTTGGGCTCACATAAAGGACTGAGTTGAGCTCTTCTGAAATCTGCTAATCAACACCTCCCAGTGAAAACTTGCTGAAAGTGCTGCTGTTGCTGTTCTCCGAGTCATTTTCACACCTTTTGCAAAAATCTGAGCATGCAGAAGCAGCTGTGTTACTGTCACTGAGTTAATTTAACAAAAAAGGCTAAAATACAGAGGATTTATGATTATAGACCAAGGATTAGCTCTTAAAGAGCATCTGCTGAAAACACAGTTCTGAGAGAAAAGAAATGGTCGTTTTAACATGTTAGGAAATCCTGCTTGTGGCAGGATTACCGTGCTGGCATTGCTGATTACCGGCAGCAGGTGTCAGCAGTCAGTGCGGCTGAGGACACACATTGCCAATGTGGGTACAAACCCACGCTTGGGCACTTTCAGTAAGGTGTGCCTTTCCCAGCCTTGCTCTCGCATTATGCCATGTAAAGTAATTGAGCAGGAAGCACTTAAAAAATGCAGGGTGGTTGGGGTAAAGGGTGGGATGAAGCCCACTGCAGCCCAGCTTCAGTGGGTTGCTCTCTTCTGGGTTTGCAGACACTTTAAAAACAGAAACAATTGCCTGAAATCAGGGGCTGTGGTGTGAGATTTGGGAATTAATCTCTATGGCCCATGTTCTGCCTATTTTCAGCTCAGTATAGCTGAGAACATGGTTCTGTGTCATCTGCAGTCATGAAATAAGGTGTTGTCTCTAATTAGAGTGAGGATAAATAAGCAGTTAATCCACTCACAGCTTAAATGCCCACCAGCTCGCACACTGCCTCCCACATCATCTCGTGCATCCCTTTAACGCCTTTCCTGCCACAGTGGGAAGAGAGGGTGCTGGGGATGAGCCTGCACAAGCTGGAAACTGAGAACGTGGGGGCAGGATGACAGAGTTGTTCCTGGCTCCATCCCCGCCAGACTTACTCTGCTTTGCTGAGCAGAAAAGCTACAGAGCGTGCAGGATCTCTGGTTCAGCTGGGTGCTAATGCTGAAATGTTTGGTGAGCACTGCTGTGCTCCCACAGAGCCAGGGGTTTTGCTGTTGGAACTTGATGTATCTTTGTTTTTTATTTCAGTTTTATTCTTTTTTTAAATGTGAAGCTGTCTGGCTAGCTCCATCAAAGCCTTTGAAATTTAAGATTTAGGAAAGATGGAGAGCTTTGTGTCACAACAGGAATGGGATTTGTTTGTAAAGTATGTGGGTGTTGAAAGGTCTGGTTTATAAAGGCAAAAGAAAGAAAAAAAAGTCTGCCAGGGCTAAGATTGCTTCTGTCTCTGTTGTGGTTACAGCCAAACAGAGCAGGTTTTCTGGTAGGCAATTTCATTGCTTAATTACTGTTCAATCACATCTGCAGTTCAGGGCACAGATTCCTTCATGGGCAGGAGCTGTTCCACAGAGCAAAGCAATGTTGGACTATTTCATTACTAGAATATTGTTGGGTGACTTGTTTTCATATGGAAGCTAAATGCATAAGCAGAAGCATGATGGATGGGAGGTGAGCTGTGAGGAGTAATGTGCTGAAAGTTGAAGCTCCTTGAGACAAAGGCTGTCTTTGTATGTTTATGATGCTTGAACACACAGTTATAGGTTAAACAGTAATAAGCATTACACTGCTTCATCCAGATCTGTCACTGCTTATTGCTTAGCAGAGGTTTCTAGGGCTTGGATTTGTAAGATGATTGGCTGCATGCTTTCTTTAATGAGACCAGGTAATCTCATGGTGGTTTTCCTGCCCTTAAAATCAGAACAGGTCAACCTTGTATTTTCCGAGGAGAACCTGCAAGATGAAGTCATCTCTGTGAGTGGTTATAAGACCACTCCCTGCTGGAGAAATGCATGAATGCAGATCCAGGGCACAGCTCCCAGAACAGGCTAAGCTTGTTGGCCAAGAGAAGGAGAGGAGAGGTGGCTTAGGAAGAGCATGTCACTTGGGGATGGTTCCTGTGCTGAAGCAGGGGAAATGCAAAGCAGATGTTTACATACCCAGGCTGAAGACCCACATATTGTCAGTGACTCGGTGGCTGAATCAGGTGAGGAGTGTCCCTGTTTCAGTCCTCAGACTTCAAGGTGTGCCTGGGTGATGCCAGAAAGGCACAGCCTTCGCAGTTCCCATCAGTGTCAGCAGCTTCTGGTGGTATTTGATGTGTGGCAGATAACTGGTCTGACCATCTCATCGCTGGCTGCTAGGAAAAGAGAAATAGCACCTATATTGCATTTTAAGCCAATTTAATAGCTTCCTGCCCCTTTTACTTTCTCCCGTCCCTTACAATACTTCCATCACTTTGTTGTCTGCACACAGCCGCTTCAGCTTGCTCACCTGTCAGGAAGCAGCAGGTCTCTGCA